CGCCTAGACCTGTCCAGGCCGCCCAGGCCGCCTAGAACCGCCCAGGCCGCCTAGACCCGCCTAGGCGCTGCCTAGATCAGCCCAGGCCGCCTAACTCCCTTATAGCATCAGAGTTGTTATCTTTGTGGAGATTTCAATAGCTGAATGACATTTGATAGTTTTCATAGAGAGTCCAGTCCAATCCAATCAACACAATCAGCCGAAACGAAAAGAAAAAAAATCGAAGCTTGAGTTGAGAGAGAGAGAGAGAGAGAGAGGCTCAAGACCGAGTCTTTAAAGCTTGTAAGCGAAATGGCCGTGTGACTGTGAGTGCAAGCTTCGAGTCTTTAAAGCTTGTAAGCGAAATGGCCGTGTGAATGTGAGTGCAAGCTTCGTGTTCGTTTCGAATGAATTTAAAGGGTATAGCCGAACGGCTATACCTTTAAAATATTCGGATATATTCAAAGAGTGTAGCCGCATGACTATACCTTTAAAATAATATATTTAAATAGTATAGCAGCCTGGCTATACTCTTTAAATATACAATTTTGTCAATGTTATTTTAGGGTTTAGGGCTTAAAATACCACTTTTGCTAATTAGGATAGAGTTATTTCTTCAATTATTTTATTTATACCAGTGATATTGGGGAATGAGAATTTAAATTCTTTCCAATGCCTTCCATTCTAATGATTTCCAGCTATTAGCTTATTAGGCAAGAATAAAAAATGAATTTTATTTATAAAAAATAATACAGTTTAAACCCATAAATACAACAATAAAAAATAGGGATCCACCAACATTTTGGGGATAAAAGAATCTTGAATTTCATGGTATAAAATTGCTTGTGTAAGAATTTAGTTTCTAAAATGTATCCATCATAATTATGAACTAAACCCAATGACAACCTTTTTCTCACTTTTGCTATGAGATATATCAGTTGGCATTGTATTCTCTGCATATGAAAAATTGGATACAAAACAGTCTAATGAGACAATGAAGAAAAGAGTTTTGAAATAAATTGAAGGTATCAGAGGTCATATGGCATTGATATATATATATATATATATACAAACTATTCTAAATGAGATTTCAAACATGGTGTTAGATGAGAAGTAGCAAATCATTCTTACATAAACCTCTCCTGTATCTCGCAAGCGTAGGAGATCCAACCTTTCATGAGGACGCCGGTTTGATAAAGATGTAAGCTGCATCCAATCATACATTAATACCGGCAATTACAGCCCACAATATACTCAATTTTAATAAAGAGAAATATAAAGTTATCCAGAAGCAGAAATGCTCAGGATCTTGTAGTGAAGGCATTAGCGCTTCCACGCCGAGGAAAATATAATATAAAGCTTGTAGTGATTCGGTGAAGCTAGCCAGGCAAAGAGGAAAATATAAAGCTTGTATAGCTATTTTTGGCCTTTAAAAAAAAAATTACATATAGCCGAACGGCTATGCTATTAAAATAATATTTAAATGGTATAGCCGCACGGCTGTACGCTTTAAATGTAATATATTTAGAAGGTATAGCCGATCGGCTATACTAGCATCCCTTTTTTTTCCGTGTCGATTTTTGTTTATCCGTCTCCTTTTTGAATGAGTGTACAACAGCACTTGTAAAGCTCGTGGTGTAGCCATTTTTGGGCTTTTTCCGGCTATACTATTTAAATAATATTTAAATGGTATAGCCGCGCGGCTGTACGTTTTAAATATAATATATTTCAAAGGTATAGCCGCCCGGCGAGACTGGCATCTCCCTCACCCCCCTTCCTCTTCTGATTTTCGTTTTGTACGGCTACAAGAACAGCTGG